TGATGCAAGCCCCATCAGTATCATTCTAGTCTACTTTTCATTTTTATTCGCTTCTGCATTTAATAATAGCACCAAGAATAAATTAAAATCCCTGCAGTCCTTTTCACGTCCCAGCTTGCCATCTTTTGCCAGCTTCTTTGTCATCCCAAACACAATTTTTTTTTTTTTTTGGAACACATTATTCACCTGGTTAATGAAAGAAAGGAAGGAAGAATGAATAGCAAGTCTCGCTGTAAATGGACCTGACATTTCTCTCGAGCATTCTGAGCAGCTCTGACATTCAACACCCTTGTACCTGAAAACTTCTGGACATCTCCCATTCTGGCAGGTCAAATAAAGCTGTTCCTCGGGGGATAGTTTAAAACTACTTGTAACATGTTTTGATTTACAGATTATCAATTCTGCTGAGCAACAGAGAGACATATTTGGGAGTCGCACAAACAAATACATTCAGCCGTGCTGTGGATTAACCTAAAGTGACACATTTATTTAAAAATCTGCCTACTACTTGTCCTCATTGATTAAATGCCCTTAAGAAAGTAAGTCTGATGAAATGAAAGCCATTGAGATGCAGCGCACCTCCTCCTCTCCTTTTGATGGTTGACACATTCCCCAGAGTGGGAGATTGGACGGCTGATAAGCTAACACTGAATTATAAGCACTTTGTGGAATGTCACTGGCAAATGAAAGATCTACTGTTTTGCTTGCAAAGCAACCGTATGCCTTAACAGCACAAAAATGGACACGGTGCAGAATTATTTCATCCTCTGTGCTCAGAATATAAACGAATGTGTGTGTACACTGTGCGTGCGTTTTCACGGCCGAGATCAGCTCAGCGCCAGCAAGGCTTGTTCCTGGCTACAGTGCCACTGATCATGAAAACAGAAGGGCCTGCCAAGGACTTTGTCAGCGTTGTCAGAACTCCAACAAGCGTTGGGCGATTTTGCTGTGGCTTGTTGTTACTCGAGCCTTAGCGATCTCAGAGGGGCCAATGTATGGGGGCAATGGGGGGGGGGGGGTGCCGTGGAGGGGCTGGGGGTGGAGAGGTTAAATAGAACACTCTTTTCAGTTTGGAATGAGAGGTGTAAACACCATTTGAGGTGTGATGGGAAGGGTGCCAAATGTGGAGTTCAAGCTTTGTCTTTTCCTTTTCCTCACTAGCCTTATGGCCTCAAGAAAATCACTTCAATTTGCTGAGCCTCCAGTTTCTTTGGCTGAAAAATGGGGCTAATAATGTTTGTTTTTCATGGGATTGTTGAGAGGCTGGTGTGGAAGAACGTACAGGCATGTGCTTGTTAAGAGAGAGAACTCACGGGCATGGACAACAGTGTGGGGATGGGGTGGCTGGGTGGAGGTGCAAGAGGGCACAGAGGGGATAAACGGTGATGGAGAAACAAAAGAATGTGCTTTATAAATGGTACAGCACCATACAAAGGTCAGGGGCCACCGGCTGCAATGGACGGAGCAGCAGACCCCCATGCTCCATGCTGCGCCCCGTGCTCCATGCTGCGCCCCGTGCTCCATGCTGCGCCCCGTGCTCCTGTCCACTTCCAGGCGGGATTAGCGTGACGCCTCTTTGCAACGGTCCAGGCTGGAACAGAAAAACCCAGAAAATCTGGAATACAGTTTAGATCTCAGTCCAAATGGTGAAATGGATGTTGAAGAAGATTAAAGATCAATCATACCGTCTAAAATACAAAGAAATATGGAGGAAACCCTAAAGGGCACGGACTGAAATGCCAGCCAGTTTTGGAATGGCTTGGAGACCCGATCGGAGACCAGGCTCGAGGAATAGTCAAACACCTTTTTGTTGTGGTGGTTTCTCTTTGTGAGCAACCAAAATTCTTTAAGGAATCTTCAATGGGAAGTCAGTGTTTGGTCTCTCCACGTAAACATTATTTATTTTCTTTTAAGCCTGTCTGTCTGGCCATGCATCAGGCACAGGTGTTATTTCTTCCAAGCATCACTTTGATGGCATTACTTGTTCCAGAACATCTAGTGGTTGCATCGGAAGGCATTTCAGGCCGGGCAAACCCACGTGCACTTCTGCACAGATTAGACGGAGTTTTCTCTCTCAGGCTGAGGCCAGAGAGCTCCCTGGATGTCCTGTTCTGAACCCAGTCTCTTGAGGGTGGGCCACGTGGACAGTCCTGTTTAACACCTTGCAGTGTGATGGCCACAGACGACCTTGGTCCTGGTTTTGGCTTTGCCAACTGCTAGTCATGTTGCTGCACTATCCAGGGTCTCTCTTGGAGCATCTTTGATGATAATGATAATAATAATAGTAACAGTGATGAGGCTAGTAGTAATAACAATGATGATACTTTCTGATTATTCAGTACTTATGTACCAGGCTTTTCGTTTATAGAGATTAATATGTTTGATCTGCTGTAATTCTCCTAGGAATCTGCCATATTTGATTTTGTTATCCTGTCTGGGCTACAGGTTAGATCACTTGTGCCATATCTGGTACGTGTAGAAGAGGGATCATGACCCACATCTGAGTGACCCTGGACATTGAGCCACATCCACCCTGCTCACCTGACTGGGCTGTTGAGGTCAAATGTGATCCTGCCTGTGAAAGAAACTTGCTTTTTTTAAAAACAAATTTTTTTTTCCTTTATTGATTTCAGAGAGAGAAAGGGAGAGGGAGAGATAGAAACATCCATGAGCCCTGGCCGGTTTGGCTCAGCGGTTGGAGTGTCGGCCTGTGGTACAGAGAGACCCGGGTTCGGTTCCCGCTAAGGGCACGTACCTCGGTTGCAGTTTGTCCCTGGCCCTGGTTGGTCGTGCGGGTGGTGGCCACTCGATGTGTCCCTTCACATCGATTTTTTTCTCTCTCTCTCTTCCTCTCTCTCCCTCCCGCTCTATCTGAACAAAAAATGGAAAAATGTCCTTGGGTGAGGATAAAAAAAAAATAAAAAAAAAGAAACATCCATGAGAGAGAACATCAATTGGCCGCCTCCTGCATGCCCCTCACTGGGGATCGGGTCCACAACCTGGGCATGTGCCCTGACCAGGAATTGAACCGCTGACCTTTTGGTGCATGGGTCGACGCTCAATCACAGCCACACCGGCCGGGCAGAACCTTTCTTTTTTCAAAATCATATTTATTTATTTAAAAATTATGTAAGCAAGTCATTTCTCATGGAAAATTTGGAAAGCACAGAAGGAAGTAAAAGCTACTTGTTGCCCTACTGCTTTTTATAAAAAGATATAAAAAGTCAAAGTCCCTCCCTCTGACTCCCACTCCATCGTTTGGAGATGAATTCTGTTAACAGTTGTGTGTGTGTGTGTGTGTGTGTGTGTGTGTATGTGCGCTTTCATACCCTTTTCTTGGTAAAACTTATTGGAAAAGTAGAAAACTCCAAGATAGAAGTATGAGTCCAATTTCCCTGCTGTTGTGGCATGAAGGACACAGGCTGACCTTGAGCTTCTGGGATGTCCGTTTCAGGATGTGTTTGGCTGCCTTTAGCTGTGACACTTCTGCAAGACCATCTGTGTGTGTCCGGAGCCACTGTGGGACCAGCACCGGCCCCAGCTGGCCCAAGTGATGGGAAACGTGTGTTAACCTGTCTGGGATTTTTGTACCAGACTGTGTCTCTTTGTCGCCTCCCTTCTCTGTCCCCCTCTCCCTTCTCTTCTTTAATTCCTGACCCTCCTCTCCTCAACAATCCATCAGATCCATCGTTCACGTAGATTTCCGTGGAAAGCGGTCTGAAGAAGGTGACTGGTGGGGGGCGGGAGAGTGCTGGGAGGAGGGAGAAAGACAGATCCAGGCTGTGTTGCTGTGTTTAGGCAGCGAGAGTCCTTTCCTCTGCGTTAGCCAAGTGCTTTCGGCAGCACACACACCAGCACACGCGGTAGCTTCCGCAGACGGCCCATTGCCCTGAGGGGAATCAACCCAGTTCATGGGAGGAGGGAACTCCGGGGCCTCATAGTCCAAACTGGTGAAGAGTCAGCTTGTGTTTGGTCTCCAAGCCCCTGGTGCTGCCCCTGCCAAGTCAGATCCCAGGTGTGGGCTTTAGCTGGAGCCGAATGGAACCAGTAGCATACATTCTTTCAATGACACTTTCCAAAGGGAATTTGGGGAATCCTGCCGGTCATGGGGAGAACCCCTGGGGCCGTTTCTGCAGCAGGGCCAGTTCACACTGAACACTGGGAAGCCCGGCTGTCCCCGGAGTTCTGGGCAGCCCCCTGCTTGCCAGGCACCTGGGCAGCACTGGGCACCTGGGCAGCACCGCCCCAACTCGGGTCCAGCCGTCCTCGGGCCTCCCGGCAGACGGAGTTTCTCTGTCGGAATGAGTGTCTCTCCAAGTCAGCCGTGGACAGAGAAAACTGCTGTGTCAGGACCTGAACACTTGACATTTTCATCTTACTCTTCACTTCTCTTGTATGGCTACATGCAGGATATAACCCGGAATCCAGAAACTTTGCTGGCTCAACTGCCCTTTCATGCCTCATTGACAAGTACATTTAAAAAAATCTCTTTGTCACTGGCTAAACGTAGTTTTAGGAAACACCTGGGGTTGCTCAGTTCATTCCAGGGCCCCCCTCGCCGGTTTCTCACACGTGCAGAGGAATGTAAAACGGACTGCACACGGTCATAGCAAAGGGGGCATTCCACAGAGGGGGTCAGTCCCTGGTGGCTCAGAAACCGTGAGAGGGAGGCCTCGAGGTTCACCAGTGTCAGAGGAAGCCGGAGATGGAATTGCAACTTGATATGCACAACTGGATGTGTTTTATTATTTATAACACACACTTCCTTTTTAACCCCCCTCTGAATGCTGTGTCATTCTTCAGAGGGGGCTCTGGCCCTGCTCACCTCCTGAGCTCAGCCTCCACTGTTTTTTTTTGTTGTTGTTGTTTTGTTTTGTTTTTTATCCTCACCCAAGGACATTTTTCCATTTTTGTTCAGATAGAGTGGAAGGGAGAGAGAGGAAGAGAGAGAGAGAGAAACATCCATGTGAAAGGGACACATTGAGTGACTGCCACCCGCATGACCAACCAGGGCTGGGGACAAACTGAAACTGAGGTATGTGCTCTTAGCACCCCGGCCAAGGCTGTCCTTGTCCCTTCAGCTCCCTTTTCTGAAGTCAAATCCAGCTTTCTCAGCTGGGTATTCCAGAGTTTAGTGAATGGAAGGCAAAAAGAAAACCAAGCTATTTTGGGGTGAATGGGTCAAAAACAGAGCTTGTACCCACTGAGGGGATTCAAAAAACCAGAAATGGTAGACTATTGAACAAATATGCGTTCCCCTGTGTCAGATATTGCACTGGGAACCGGGGATGCAGAGAGGACCCCTCCCTCCGGAAGCTTCCGGCGTTGTTAGGGAAGACAGACAATAAGCAGATAATTACATTGGCAACGGATGCTGTGAAGGATACAAACAGTAACGTGGTGTGACTGAGGATAAGGGTGGCACAGGGAGAGTTGCTGTCCATGAGGAGGGCTAATTATGCTGACCTGGGCAGGTGTGTCCATTTCCAGGTCACTGGGGTACCATTTTGAAACCCCATTGGCCGGTCTGCAGCAGCTCCTCTGTGTAGTATTGATACTGAGTCAGGGGGTGTGAAGTTCACGGGAAGAGTTTCCATGGGGGATGTTAGTTTGCTAGGGCTGCCATAACAAAGTACCGCAGACTGGGTGGCTTAAACAACAGAAATTGATTTTCTCACAATCTGGGAAGCTAGAAGTCTGAGACGAAGGTGTTGGCAGTGTTGTTTCCTTCCGAGCCTCTCGTCTTGGACTATAGACAGCATCTTCCTCTGGTGTGGGCCCTAATCTCTTCTTATAAGGACACCAGTCATATTGAATTAGGATCCACACCAGTGAACTCATTTTCACTTAATTCCCTTCTTAAAGACTCTGTCTCTAAACACAGTCACATTCTGAGATATTGAGGGATGGGACTTGAACATGTGAATTTTTGAGGGGGACACAAATTCAGCCCATAGAGTGAGGAAGAGAAGAATGTCTGATTGTAAATCTTTGTGTGGATGTGTTTTGGGGGATATTATCTTATCCTCTGGGGACCCCATAATGTACCTTGTGCCTAAGGAAAATGACTGTCAGATGACACCCTGAAGGATCTTCCTGCATTCTTTAGATAGACGGGGCTCCGGTGGGGTGGGTCCTGTCCTGAGCGAGCCTTCTCAGAGCTTGGACTGGGCTAGAGACGATTTTAAAAAGTGTTCTATAACTTTTATGTCAAAACTGGGAGGTGGACCTCACTACTGGTTCTGAAAAGGTGCTGCCAAACACCCCACCTCTAGCTGAATAGATATTAAGTAAAAATCACCAAGCTGAATCGTTAGAAAAAGGGCACCTCGTTTAAAAATAAATCTGTTGATGCAGTTATAATTTTGCACCACAGAAGGAAATCAATTGACAATTTATTGAAAACTATGTGCTCAGCATGCTGCTAAGGGGAACCTAGAAGCACATAATTGATTTATTCTCTCTTTCAGTCAACAGATATTTATTGAGTCTGGACCGTGGACTTCATTTACAACGTCCTTTAAAAAATCTGTCTGAAGATAACTGACGCACGATCTGCATTGGTCCCGTCTGCTCCAGGCGCCTGATTGCAGACCCTCTTCAAGACTCTGTGGTGGGTGCTGAGGGGGTGGTCCCTGTCTGACCGAGAAGATCGCGGCTGCCACGTGACCCACAGAAAACTTCCTGGAAGATGAGCCCCCCCCAAGAATGGGGTTGTGAGGGACACACAGTGAAAATCCATGCAGAGCAAAGGTGGTGATGAGGGTGGCGCGCCAGGTATGAACCTGGGAAGGAGCCAGGAGGAGAACGGAGGCTCTGGACGAGGGGGCCAGCTCCCATGGATTTATTAGGCAGAACTTGTGAATCTGTGTGTTTCTCTTAGTGGACCTGATTAATAACATGTGTTTTTAGAGACAAGGGCCGGGTCTTTGTTTCTCTCTCTCTCTCACACACACACACACACACACACACACACACACACTCACACTCACTGACATTTACTCAAATTTATACTCCCTTAGCACCTTGCTCTGAGTTTACTTAGGTGTTATGTTGCTTTAATTGCGTACTTACATATGTGTCTCTCACATTGGATCTGAGCATTTCTGGGACATCAGAAAAGGAGCCCATGGGGCACCTCAACAAATATTTGTTGAATGAGTGGATTAGTTTGGGGAAACTTGGGGAATTTTCCTTGACTAGGTTCTTTCAAGATTTGTGGTAATGACATCTTTTTGAATCAGGTTGAAAATGCACCACTGAATTCTAGTTCATGGTAATAGTATCTAGGTAGGTTCTAATATCCTTTGGGATGCATGCATGGCAAAGACTATCTTTGGAGTGGCTGTGGAGTTCTAAATGGAAGGTCACTAACAGTGCATGAGAGAGAAAGAAAGAGTGAGCAAGAGAGTGATAAAGAGAATCATTCTTCTCATAGGTAGAATTAGATTTAGCTTTTTAGACAATCAGCACCCTGGCCACGTTCACCACGTGTATCAAAATGTTGCTTTCGAAGCTCCTCCCGTCTGCTGCGGTGGTGTCATAGGGTTAGGATGGTCCAATAGCGAAGCCTTGCAGAGATGGGGAACACAGAGAGCTGGGGGCTCTTACTCTTCCTAGGGGCCAGAGTCCTTGGTGTGCCTCTCTCTAAAGTCTGTGGACTCCTACTGAACTGTGAGATTCACATGAAATCAATGGAAGCTCCATGAGAGTCGAGAAAATATGCAGGAAGAAGTTGTAGGTGTTCGGGGATTTCAGCAGACTCTCAGAAATCTGGTCCAAAGACTTTGTCTGGGACAGATGCTATCTGAATGAGAACACTAGGAAATAAAAATCTCCTAGGAAAACAAAAATTAATTCTTGAATGAATTATAACTATAAATGAATGGAGCCACCAATAATTATTTATACCTTAGAATAAATAATATCTGGAGACAAAGTAACACAAGTTAAAATATGTGCTTTCAAAATCCATAAATATAAATTTTATTTAAAATTTTTTATGTTCGACAATAGGGGGTTACTTAAATTATAATACATCCTCATGCCAGATTACCTGGCAGTCATTAAATATTATATATATTTTTTGAAGTTTTTTTATTATTAATTAATTTATTTTTGTTACATATGTTTCTCCTTTTTCCCTCATTGACACCCTCCTCCTAACCTCCCCCGTCCCCAGCATTGTTGTCTATGTCCATTGATTATGCTTGCATGCATATAAGTTCTTTGGTTTATCTCTTCCTTCCCTCCCGTCCCCCTTCTCTGAGGTTTGTCAGTCTGAACGCTACTTCTATGTCTCTGGTCTATGTTGTTCATCAGCTTATTTTGTTCATCATATTCTACAAATAAGTGAGATCATGTGATATTTGTCTTTCTCTGATTGGCTTATTTCGCTTAGCATAATACTTTCCAGGTCCCTCCATGTCGTCTCAAAGGATAAGAGATCTTTCTTTCTTACAGCTGTATAGTATTCCACTGTGTATATGTACTACAGCTTTCGTATCCACTCATCTATTTGGGATGTTTCCAGATCTTGGCAATTGTAAGTAGTGCTGCTATGAACATAGTGGTACATATATTCTTTCTGATTAGTCTTTCAGGCTTCTTAGGGTATATTCCTAGAAGTGGGATCACTGGGTCAAATGGCAGTTCAATTTTTAATTGTTTGAGGAAACACCATATTGTTTTCCACAGTGGCTGCAGCAGTCTGCATTCCCACCAGCGGTGTGCTAGAGTCCCCTTTTCGCCACACCCTCGCCAACACTTGTTCGATGATTTGTTGATGGCGGCCATTCTGGCAGGTATGAGGTGATACCTCATTGTTGTTTTAATTTGCATCTCTCTGATGATTAGTGATATTGAGCATTTTTTCATAAGTCTGTTGGCCATTTGTATGTCCTGTTTGGAGAGGTGTCTCTTTAGGTCCTCTGCCCATTTTTTAATTGGGTTCTTTGTCTTCTTTTTGTTGAATTGTATGAGTTCTTTATATATTTTGAAATTAATCCCTTATCTGATATATTGTTAGCTGTTATGCTCGCCCATAGAGTGGATTCTCTTTTCATTTTGATGCTTGTTTCTTAAATATTATATTTTAAAAGAATATTAAAAGGCATAGGAAATGCTTATGATACAATAAGTTAAAAGGCAGGTTACAAACTATGTAAGTATTAAAGATACAATTGTGTAAAAATAGGTGTAGGAGAAAGACCATAGGCCCAGCCACGTTAATGGTGTAATTTTAATGTGCATGTATATGTGGATGAGGGACTTTCTGAATTAATATATTCACTTCTGCTTTGTTTGGTTCATGTTGGCTTTGAATGCTTTTTTCCTCTTTTTATTTTCACACTATTAACCTTCATCCTTTTACTTCCAATCTTACCATGTCCTCATGGTAAAACTGTATTTTGTGAATAGCATATAGTCAGATATTTTTTCCTATCTGATTATCTCTATTCCTTGGCTGAAAATTTAAATCCAGTTACATTTATTTTTATTACTAATAATTTGGGTTTATGTCTATCATATTACTTTGTGGTTTCTTTATATCCTAACTTTTCTGTATTTCTTGCCCTCAAACTTGTTTGAGTTTGTTTTATTTTCTTATTTTATTTTTCCTTCTACTTGTTTGGAGGATATAGGCTATTTTTAATCCTATTTTATAGTCTATATTTTTGGGGTAGCACTTGAAATTTTACTATTTATTTTTGTCTTAACAAAGTCCAAAGTTAGTCTTACCTAAATGCTTCTCCAAATACTACAAGAACCGAAAATAACTTGTTATCCTGCTAACCTACCTCCAAATTACCTTCTATTTTTGTCCATTATTTTAGACATGAGACTAATTATTATTTCATACAATCTTTTTTAGATTTCTGTGCATCTTTTTCAGTTTTTTTCTTCTTGCATTTTACATCTTCTGTATTGAGCAGGTTTTAACATTTCCTGAAATATATCTTTCATTAGTAAAGTTCTGCTGAGTAAATTAAGTATTTGTTTATTTAAACATATTCTTATTTTATCTTCATTCTTTAAAAAAAAAGTGTTTTTTTTTTCTTTATTGATTTTATAAAGAGAGGAAGGGAAAGGGAGAGAGAGATAGAAACATCCATGGATGAGAACACCGATTGGCCGCCTCCTGCATGCCCCACACTGGGGATTTGGCCCACAACCTCGGCATGTGCTCTGAGCGACTCTTAGTGCATGGGTCCATGGTCAATCACTGAGCCACACTGGCTGGGCTTTTATATTCATTCTGAAAGAATATTTTGCTGATATACTATTTTAGATTGATGTTTGTATCCTTTATCATCCTGATGGCATTCTTCCAGTCCTCTGGCTTTCACTACTACTGTTGGGAAGCTTGTCCTGTAGGTGATTTAACTTTTTTCTCTTTATCTCCTTTATTTTGTCATTGGCATTTTGCTGTTTTCCTACAATATCTCAAGGTGTGAATTTATTTTTATGTATGCTGTTTGCTATACGTCCTGCATTTTATATCTGAAGAGTTTTGACTTCCATCAGTTATGGAAAGTCATCAGCCATTATTTCTTGAATATTGCCTCTCCTCCACTCTTTTTCTTTTCTTTTCATCCTCACTTGAGGATTTTTTTTCTATATATCTTCAGATAGAGTGGGAGGGAGGGAGAGAGAGAGAAACAGCGACGTGAGAGAGACACATCGACTGTTGCCTCCTGCACAATCCCAACCAGGGCCGGGGATGAACTGCAACTGAGGCACATGCCCTTGACCAAAATTGAACCCGTGACTCTTTGGTCTGAAGGCCAATGCTTTAACTGCTAAGCCAAACCAGCCAAGGCCTCCGTTGTTTTTTTCCTCCTGATAATTCAGTTAAATGATTTTTTCACCTTCTCATGTGCTCCTCCCTGCCTCATTGTCCCTGTGCTGCATTGTAACTTTTAAATATCTGTCACCCAGTCCTCTAATGTTTTCTTCAACTGTGTATAATCTGCTGCCCAAAATTTCAATTGCATTTTACATTTAAATGCTTAATAATTGGTTTTAAAAGTTTGGTTTGATTCATATTCAAATCCTCCTGATAATTTTGTAAAGTGTCATATTGTTTGCTAATTTAAAAATACATATTGAAAACATTTCATGCATTATTTTATATTCTCCTTTTCTTTTTTTCTATTTATTATCAGGTAAAGTGAGAGGGAGGGAGAGAGAGACAGGAACATCAATGTGAGAGAGACACATCGACTGACTGGCTCCCTCACGACCCTGAGCAGGGCCGGGGACAAACTGCAACCGAAGCACGTGCCCTGGACCAGAATTGAACCCGCGACTCATCGGTCCGCAGGCTGACGCTCTAACTACTGAGCCAAACGGGCCAGGGCCACATTTTATATTCTTTATCTTAGCATTATTTCAGCATTGAAATGATCAGGATACTAACTCTCTGGATGTTGGCTGAATTCACTTATAACTGCTGTTTTCTTGTGCACTTGGTGATTTTGTGGTTGTTATGAGCTCCTCCTTGGATCAACTTCATGTTCAGAAATCATGTGAGCCTCAACTGGGGTTACTTTCCTTCAGAGATTTGTGTTTGTTATACCCTGGAGCTGGGACTGGGGTGCTGCTGACCCAGGACCTCGTTAGCTTATCTGGAGGGTCCATTTTAATGCAGATCTCTCAGGTTCGGCGCCCCCAACTTAGAACATTCACAAAACGTAGGCAGCCAAGCCTGTGCTGATACTGGAATTTACCCTCGGGTTAACTCCAGATTTTGTGTTCTTCTTGCTCACCCTTCC